TCCCCCCCCCCCAAAGCCTCAGCACAGCCTCAGCCCCTCTCTTGGGGCAGAACAACAGGGTTTTGGTAAAGATAAGTAAAAGTGTGCCTTCCCCCCCCCCCAATGTGTCACGATCAATACACACAACAGCGCACGGGTTCAGTCATGTGGGGAAGCTGCAGTGCCCTGGGGGTGGTGAGGAACAGGGGAGCGGTGGCGGGGGTGTCTCCGTGTGTGTGGATCTCTCTGTGTTCGTGTTCATGTCCATGCATTTGTGTGTAAGTTGCAAAAACTCCAGGTTTTCCCCAGCGCAGGCGGCAGGACGCCACACCAGCAGCTCCGGCAGTGTCGGCCCACCCTGACGCCCTTCGCCGTGTGCCTCCATGCCTGCCCACCCTGGCCATGGCCCACCCTGCGCCTGCTGCCGCCCTGGAGAGCAACGCCGGGGCCCGCTTTGACACGCAGCAAACGGTCTGAAAAACTAAAGAGGCCAAAAAAAAAACCACTGCCCCTGCGCCGCTGCAAATACCTAAAACTGTCAAGGAAATGCATGGAGCCGTAAGACATCCCAGCGCCAGAGATGAGGCTGCTTTGCTTTTCCTCCGTGCGCTGCCAGCTCCCTTCACGGGTCCCTTTGGTCTCAGCCAGGTGACCCTGGCAGTGGCCGCGGCAGTCCGGTGCCCGGCCGTCCCTGTCCCCACGTCCCCCAGCCCCCAGGATTCCTTGACCTGTTCCTGGCAAGACCAAACTTCGCCTGTATTGCTAGCAAAAGTGCATCGTAAAATGAACTGTAAACGCATTTCCTCCCCACCCTGCCCCTCCCCCCGCACGCACCCCAGCACCTCTCACCGTACCAGAGACCGCACCGCTCGTCATCAAAGGCGTTAACGAAGGGGGGGACACCCAATGGGGGACGCGGGGTGGGGGGGGACTAAAGGAAGAGCAGAATTCGGTAACACTGAAGATGACGGTCAAAGACTGACAACTCAGCACTCTGCACCGAGACTCACTTTAAATTAACTTAAGAGACAAAGAAGCAACAGAAAAAAAAAAAAAAAAAAATTCCTCCTTAGCCCACTGCTCTCGAAATTGTCTTCTGCTTCTTCTGACAGCGACGGTTCAGAGTCTGTAGAGTTGATCCCCATTTTCAAACTAGTTATAGACTCAAAAGCAAGTGACGCTGTGGATTTGTTTCGGGGTTTTTTTTTTTTTTTTTTTCGTTTTGACGGACGCAGGAACTTCAGCGAAGTCGGGCTTGGTTCGAGTAAACGGCCACGCGCTGGGCGAGTGGCGGAGGAGAGGACAAGCAGTTTGGGGAGGCCCCGCTCCCCGCCTGCGCGTGGGGCGCTGGGGGAGGCCGTCCAGCTCGGCCTCCCCCCGTCCCCGTCCAAACTGAGGGGCCGCCGGCACCGGCTCCGCAGGTCAAGATCCAGCCACGGCCAGAGGGAGAGGAGCCATCGCGCACGCCGCTCCACCCGGCCCCGGCAGCTCACTTGCGACGCTTGGTGGTTTTCCTCTTCCTTCTTTTGAAGAAACAGCAGCACCTGGGGACGGAGGGGACCCCATCAGCGCCCGGGCCTGGACAGGGATGGGCTCAGCAGCCCTGTGGTCAGGGCAGAACCGGTGGCGGGGACGGAAGCCCCTCAGCGTGTTGGTGAGACCCCGTGGGCAGAGCTGCTCCAGGAAGTGCCCCTGGTACGTGGCAGCAGCTGGACTGGGAGCACCGCAACGGCCATGGCAAATGATACCTGCCACAGCGAGTGACACCGGCCAGGACAAGTGACACTGGCCACGGCAGGCAACGCCAGCCACAGCAAATGCCAGTGGCCAGAGCCGGGGCCAGGCAGGGGCTCCCGGAAAAGGGATGGCCCCAGATCCGTGCACGCACGAGCGTCGGGGCTGGGCAGGGCGAGGTGTGAAGGGGCCGGGAGTGGCGGTGGCCCTGCAGGGACACCCCTCGTGGAGTGCCAGGGAAGAGTGGTAGTTACTCGCTCTAGGCCTGGGCTGTTTCTCCCTGGAGGGGACTGGACAAGGCATCGCACATCGCAGGGCATCTGCCAAAACCCGCGTTCATCCCGGCCCCGATGAGAGGGAGGCAGTGGGGCTGTGTCCTTACTTTGTATCGTCTGTCACCTCCACCTCGGTGGGGGCTGTGATGGGGGCGTTTGAATGTCCTGCCGTCGGGTCGTCCGTGTTCAGCTCTCCGTTGGTGGAGCTCATCACCTGGGGAGAGGCAAGCGTCAGTGTGGGGCGGCCCACGGGGCACAGGCCGGTCCTTAGCCTCGTCCCCCACTCCGCGGCAGCTGTGTCCTGCAGAGGTGCAGCCCCAGGAGGCGGCACAGCCCCCCCGGCCCTGCGTGAGCCAGGAGCACCGAGGTCCCCACACAGGGCAGCAGGACGATGCCCTCACCCGGACAGTGGGTGCTCAGCCTCAGTGCTGAGCACTCCCAAGCAGCCCCATCGCATAGAGGCATTCGATCCCCTCGGTGTCTCTGGGAGGATCCCAGCTCCTGGGAACGCCTGCACACCCTGCCAGGAGAGGGGCTCGCTGGCAACCAGCTCCAACACGCCCAGGAGACATGGCCCCACGAGGCTGTTTGTTAGCTCCAAGGAGACCTTGCCACGGCCACATGGCAAGCAACTAGACACAGCTCTTGCTCCCCAGCCCCAAGCCCCAGCACCGCTGGGCCCTGTGGGACTCAGCCCAGTGCCCACCCTGCAGGCTCCTGCCGGCCTCAAGGTGCCCCTGAGCTCCTGCCCGCTCGCTGGGGCAGAGGGGCCGTGCACAGTGCCAGGGCCGGGAGGAGATCCAAATCACCAAAGCAAGGACGGGGTTGGCATAGACAACTGGGACTTGCCTGAAACCCCCCTCCTGCACCTGCTGCCCCCAGGCAAAGCCAGGAGCTCCCTGGGGATGCACAGGCCAAAGGATTGCCAAGCTGCTCGTCCCTGGCAAGGAGGATCGGCCTTACCCAGACTCATGGAGGAGCTGCCATCTGACAGCCACAGTGCCCAGCCAGCAGGGCTACGTCAAGCTACAGCCCCCTGAAACAAGCCCAGAGACCCCTGTGCGTCACCAACACCCCCCCTGCAGTGCCGGGTGCAGGCGGAAGACGGGGTGGGGGTTTGCAGAGCGAGAGCGGGGAGCAGCCACCGTGGCAGGTAGGGGATGTGGTACAGGAGGAGCAGGGCAGAGAACAAGCTGGCCCCACGGTCTGCCCTGACCCTGCAACAGCAGCGGCGGGAGCCGGGCCCGAGCCTGGGACCGAGCACCAGCAGAGATTCACCACGGAGCAGCAGGAACGAGCAGCAGCGGCAGGGACGGAAGCAGAGACGGAGGAAGCAGCGCGGACCCAGCCGGGGCGGGGGGACCCATCATGGATGCCCCACCATCCACGTGGGCTGGACCCCACCAGCCCAAGAGGGGCTGAGCGGCAGAGGCTGCGAGGGCGGCGAGCACGTGGCCGACGGCGTGAGCGCAGGACCGAGGCGGGGAGATGAGGCCGAGGACTGCCCACGGAAAGGGAGGAGAAGCAGGACTCGAAGCCGTCGCTCCAGTCAAGGAAGGCACAGGGGAGTCCCCGCATGGGATAAGGCCGCATTGTCCGGCACTGCTGGGATGAGCAGCACTGGGAGCAGAACCCAGTGCCCACCTGGCTGCTCGTGCCAACGCATGGCACAGAGCCAGCACCTCATCCATCTCTAACCGCCCTCCAAGTCCCACCGGCAGCACCAAGGGAGCCCAGCAGCACGCTGGGAAGCAGCACCAGCCTCGTCTGCGAGCTGTGAGCATCACGCACCACAGGGACAGGGCAGCACGTGTTGCAGCCTAGGCAAGACCCTGGGCATGCGTGGCCTCGATGCCGCCCCAGGGCAGGGGAGCAGGGCTGATCCCCTGGCACGGCCAGCAGACACACGTTGGCCCGCGCCCGGCTGTGCAGGCAGGTCGCGTGGTGCAGGTTGGCTCTGCTCCCTCCCATGCCCGCCCCTGCCCTCGGCGCGTGGTTGCATGTACCTGGACGGACCCCCCGAGCCTGCCGGCTGCCAGGTGAGCTCCCAAAGGCTCCTCGGCAGGCTGCCCACCGGCCTGAGGATCCCACAACTCCGTCCCCTCGGGCGGCTGCTCGCGACAGGCAGGAGGAACAGAATGAAAAGAAACAAAAGAAAAGAGGAAGAATGGGGAAGAGAAGGGAGAGGTGGAGGGAAGGGGCAGGGAGAAGAGTGGCAAAGGGAGTCGAGAAAATAAGACATGCAAAAGCAAAAACATGACCGGAGCAGCTCGAGTTTGTGATTGCGGAGGGCACTCGCACAGCACCGTCCTGGCGGCTCCCCGGAGTGGTCCCCGCAGTGACACCATGGGTCTGCATCCTCCCTGCCACATACACGCACACCCACGCCCCCAGCAATGGAGCTGGGCTCTGGGCATGTCCTCTCTGGGCAGCTGAGGGCACAGCACCCCACAGAGCACGGCCAGCCCCACATAGGGCTGGTGGCTGCATTTCAGAGCAGGCTGGGACAGCAGTGCCGCTCGCTGTGTGGGGAGATGCAACCAGGCCAAGGCAATGCTGCCGGCCACTCTCCTGTGAGCGCAATGTTCTGAGGCCGACGCAGATCTTTGCGGGGTGACTGTGAGGAAGCGAGCTGTGCTGCTCCTCGAGGGCACAGGCTCCTTAGCTGTCCCACAGCGAGGGAGCACCCTGCTCCCAAACCCTCGCCATGGTGAGTATGGCACAGGCCCACAGCTGCTGGGGGCCCCTGCATTCCCAGGTTGGAAACTGCTCCCACGCTGTGGGAGTTTTGTGCTTTGCTTTTCCCACTGCTCTCGAGAAGGGATGTCGAACACAGCATCCCTCAGATGCTGGAGGCAGAAAGCAGACCTTACTGGGAGCAAGTTCCCAGTAACAAGCCAGAGGCACTTTGAAGACGTTGTCCTCTCCCTAAGGAAGTGCTGCCCAGCTGCTGGCCAGTGAGAGCCAGGGCTGTCCCAGGCTCCCTGTGCTTGACCAGGAGCAGCAAGGGGCACTGTTGGGCCGATACATGGGTGAGGGAGGACAGGATGCTGCACCCTTGGTTCCAGCGTGTTTGCGGGTGCTCTGCTCCCCGTGGAAGTTCAAGGCAAGAGGACGAGGGGGACGCTGGGGAAACGCATGAGGTTTGCTCTTGATGGCAGCAGTCCCAAAGCCGTGTTTCCTTCACCAGGGTAGGACAGGCCACGGCACCAGAGAAGGGCCGGGCAGCATGGTCCTTTCCCACAGCAGCCCAGGCAGGGAGCTGCCTGCACAGCTCTGCCCATCTCCCTGCCCGCGGCTGCTCCCAGCTCGGCCCCATGTGCCCTGCCAGTTCCCAGGGCAAAGCCAGCCTCTCTCCCCGGCACAGGGCCACACACTGCCAAGCTGCCCCATGAACCCCTCCGAGGCCCAGGCAGCCCCCTCCCTTGTCCCGTGTCCCTGCCCCATTGATGAAAGTGGCACCGTGAACAGAGCAGCAAGTTACCCCCGTGGGGACGCGGCACTGGGGACATCTTCCTTAGAACAAGGTGGCTCAGCCTGTACCGTGCCCACACCCACCGGCCAGCACTAAACCCTGCAGCTTCCCAGCTGAAGCCCAGGCCTGGCGCTTCCCCGCCATGCTACAGCCTCCCACGGCTGCTTCCTCCCACTTCTGCCAGGCCACCTGGCACAAGGGCCACTGCCTTGGTCCCCCTGCTAGCCACAGACCCAGACCAGCAGGGAGGAAGCCCTCCCACAGACAGCACTGAGGAAAAAAAGGATGTCCCAGTCCCTTCCTCCATCCAGAGGCCCTGCTGGGCTCTGTGGGTCTGTGGAGCAGAAAACCCGACCAGCGCAAGACCGTGGTCCCGTGCTCCAGCCGGGGCAGTGCCGCCACTCACCTGGTGTTTGGTGTGTGGCTGTGCTTTGTCTCTGTTCGGTGGCTGCACCTGCACCTCGCTGTGCATCGTGCCAATGGGAGTGGGCTGGGGACATGACAAAGACAACATCAGCCACAGCACAGCAGTCCTACCACCGCCCCACACCCCCTGATCCAATCTCTGGCCAAACATGCAGAATACCCCAGAATTGGGGCCCGATCCCAGCCCCCATCCCGGCCCCAGCAGCACCACGAGGTGCCAACGTGACTGCTGGGTTCCTTTTAGCTCCAGAAGCCTCAAATTTCTGTGTCACAGCTTTAACTCATTGGCACAACAGCCCCAGCTTGGAGCTGGCTGCTGGTGTCTGGTGAGGACTGGTGGAGCTGATCTGTCAGGCACGGACATGCATGGCAGGGACAACTGCCGACCTGCATCCTCCCTGGCTGCTGCCACAGACCATGCTGACTCCCCATCATGCTACCCACCGCCCCCTCGGTGCCCTGGGGCCCAGCACCCTCTGCCCGACCCAGCTCCCTCGCCACTCACCAGTGGTTTCCCTGCCCAGTCGTATTCATAGTCGAACACGTAACCGTTCCTCTCGAACAAGTCTGTGAAGAGCTTCCGCAGGTAGTCGTAGTCAGGCTTCTCGAAGAAATCCAGCCGCCGCACATAGCGCAAGTACGTGGCCATCTCCTCTGCAGGAACAGGGTGGGCTCAGTTGGGGCAGGGGGACAAGATGCCAGGCCAGCAGGCTCTGGGGCCAGGCTGGGGACAGGGACAGGCCATGTAGAGTGCCCTCACCTGGGAAGTTCTCACAGAGCACCTCCACTGGAGTGGCTCTTTTGGTGTCGCCGATCTTCTGATACCTCTCCTTTAGCGTGTCAGCCTGGCAGAGGCAAGGAGCAGGTCAGCATGAGAGGGGAAGGTCAGGTCAGAGAGGGGAAGGTCAGGTCAGAGAGGTCACACCACAAACGGTTTCTTGGTCCCCCTTTTCCAGCTAACAGCAAGAGCTCATTCCCAGGGAATACCCTCACCCAAGGCAGGTCTGGAGGATGAACACCAGGGCGTGCGGTTCCAGGACAGCCACTGTGAGAGCAGCTGGGATACCCGCAAAGTGGGGGGACACAGAGAGGGGGACACCTACAGCCACTCAGCATAGCAGGGGCCTGGCACAGACCTCAGAGCAACAGCCCCTGCATCTGGTGGGATGCCAACCCTCCAACACCCTGGGGGCCAGAGCTTCTCCTCCCTCCATGATGCCGCCCATGCCAGGGCAGAGCCAGACCCACGGGGCAGCTGTGCTGTAAGAGACTGAAAGAGTTAATGCTTCAAACATTGTGGTGGGGCAAGTTCTGCCTAACAACGAACTCTGCAAGGAATTCTGAATTCAACACGACTCCCTGGTCTGTCCAAGTCGTGACACGTGCCCAGGGACAGCGGAAGCTGGCAGTTACCTTGAGGCCTTGCCAAGGGAGGCTCCCGCGGAGGAAGTACATAAACATGTGCCCTAATGCTTCCAGGTCGTCCCTGCGGCTTTGTTCTGCATGGAGGAAGAGACACGGGCATGTTCCCACTACAGCCACTGTCTGTGTCCCCACCAGACCCTGCAGCACCCCAAGTCCCCTGCCAACATCCCAGGCTGAAAAGCAGGAGAGGCAGTTTGTCCCCAGCCCCACCTCTGGCAGGGGGGAGCTCACACCCTGTAGTCCCCTTCCCTCTCCCTTTTGGCCAAGAGGCAGGGCTGGCCACACGGTGCGCACACACCTTTCCCGAGGTGGGTGTTGATGCTCATGTAGCGTGCTGTCCCTGTCAGGCTCTTGTGCTCTCGGTAGGGGATGTGTTTTTTGGTCTCGGGGTCAATATACTCTTTGGCCAGGCCAAAATCGATGATGTGGATGGTGTGCTGCCGCTTGCTGCCCGGCCGCCCCACCAGGAAGTTCTCTGGCTTGACGTCTCTGTAGATCAGGCTTTTGGTGTGGACGTACTCCATCCGTGTGATCTGGGGGCAGCAGGAGATGTCAGCACCACAGCAGAGATGCACCGTGTGTCCTGCATGCCTCCCTGCACCCTCCTTCCCTGGGGGACAACCTCAGTCCGGCCGCATCTCGGACACACAGTGAGAGACGCTTGTTTGTGCTCAGAGGGGGTGAGGGAGAGCCCTCCTACACCAGGGAGAGGGTGAGGTATGGAGGGAGGTGGTCTGGCATGTGCCAGCAGGCAGTGCCTCCTGTGGCCTGCCGGGCGCTGGTTCACCTGTCCTTCCCCTCCCCTTCCCTGCAGGGTCCCCACGCAGCCACTGTGCCCACACATCACCCCGCTCCCTTGGGGCAGTCTGCGGCTAGGCGGGCCGGGGTGAGCTGTGCAGAGCCACAGGTGAGGTGGAGATGCCGTGCTCACCAGCTGGATCGCGATCATCAGGACGGTCTTGAGTGTGAAGGTCCGATCACACAGATCAAAGAGATCTTCTAGGCTGGGTCCTAGCAGCTCCAACACCATGGCATTGTACTTCCCGCAGGGGCCAAAGTAGTAAACCTGAGGAATTCCTTCTGCAAGAGACAGAGCAGGGGTTGTCAGGGATTGCAACAGGGCTGAGCAGCACACAGCCACGCTGTCACAGCCATGCCACTGCTGGAGTTGGGACAGGGGGCTGCAGATGGGGGGGGATGTCTCTGCACTGCCCTCCCTCGGCACCACAGTGGCTCTGCTCTTGGCACAAGGGCAAAGGAGGCAGCTCCATCTGCATCCCTGACTCTGCTGCGGGGGAGGTGGGGGGAAAGAACTAAATAAAAAGGGATCAAAGATTAGATGTGGCTTTGTGTAAAATCGGCCTCTCCCAGCCGAGCAGATGGGCAGGAGCTGCTCAGGCCGGGGAGTGAAGTTGCAGTCACATTTATAGGAAGCCTCCCTTTCCTAGCAGGGTCGCCCAGGCAGCCAGCTCCCCATGGCAGCTCAGCCTGGCCCCATACCTGCATTGCCGAGCTGTTTGTAGAACCGATACTCCAGGTGCAGCTGGGGGGCCCGGGATTTTATGGGTTCCTTGGAGGAGAGAAGGAGAACAGTTAAGTCTGTTGCAGGGAGCAGGATGTTAGGGAGGTCTGGGTGTCAGACACCTCCTTCACATGCTGGACTGAGAACATCTGCGGTTGAGATGAGAGCCTCAGGGGACAACGAGAGAAAACCAGCCCATATGGGAGACAGATCCAGCCCCTCCAGAGAGATCCGGGTGCTGGGGCAGACACTAATGGGAGCAGGTATCAGTGGGGACCACCCTCTCCTGGAGGTCTCTCTGCCGCTGCCACCGGCTGAGTGCAGCACAGGCCACAGGGAGGTCCTGGAGAAGCAAAGACCTAGCTCTTCTCTCCCCGGGCCCAGATCACCCCACCTGCAATGACGCGTGTTGCTTTGCCTGCCCTCAATTCCTAGCAGTGAGCACAGCTTCCCTGCGCACCCACCCATCCACCACATACTGCAACCCGCTCGGCTTGACCCGCTCTAACAACCTGGGGAGGGTGAACAATCTGCTTCCCAGGCGGCCTGAACATCACCACCCCCGACCACCGGAGGGACTCACCAATTTGATAGCTACGTATTCATTCGTGTAGAGGTTCTTTCCTGCAGGGAGAGACACAAAAAAGGCAACTGAAAACAAGTGAACCTTTACATTAACCCCACATCACACCCACCGCAGTCCCCGAGGGCTCCTGGGCTGCAGAATGTCCAGAACAGGTTCGGTGGCTCCCACAATACATAAACAGGCCTCAAGGCATGAGCAGGAGCAGGAACCCACTGTGGGGAGTTGCAACATGCCTGTTAATTACCCCCAGATGGGGTAGGTGGATTCCTCTGGGATGGGCAGGCTGCTGGGGGGCTGGAGCCAAGTCTGCTGGGAGGGGGGCAGCATCCCAGTCTGGGCCTGCAGGGATGTGACTGGCCAAGGCAGGAACAAGGCTGGGACTTGCTCTTTCTCCCAGCCACAGCCCTGCATGGAGAGGGGCTGCCCTGCTCTGGGAGGGCTGTCCAGAGTCAGGGGACACTGCTTCGTGGGTGGCAGGACCACACAGAGGTTGGCAGGGAGGAAGGACCCTCAAGAGCACTGGGGCAGCTTGAGGCACTGCAGCTGGCAGTGGTTTGAAGACATCACAGGTAGGTGGAAATCCCTTCCCCAGAGCTTAGGACACTCCTGGGGATGGCACACGTGTGTGTGCGTGTGTGTGTGCACATGTATATGGCTCAGCCTCATCCTTCGGGATGCTCCCACCCACCCAAGGGTGCAGGGGAAGCCAGAAGCAGACCCACAGCATGGCCCAGACTATACGAGGAGGAGCTGATGGCACCGATGTGCTGTGGGGAAGGCCAGACGACTGCTTCCAGGAGCTCTTCAGGAGAGCTGAAAGGGCAGCCATGCTACCTCAAAACCCTGTAAATGACTTCCTAGAGAGCTCAGCACCTTCACAGGAGTTTTCACACCCATAACTACAGAAAGGCTGAACTAACGGTGTCCGCACATCACCCTGTTCACCCCAGAGAGCCAGGAGGGCATGAGGAAGGTGTTACACCTGGGAAGCATCAGTACAATCTCTGCCCCAGGTCCATAAAGGCAAAGACTGAAGAGTTTTACAGAAACATTTGAGGCCCCTTCATGACACCGGGGAGATGGGAGTTAACTGCAGCAGGTTCCCTTCCACTGCACGCAGAGCCAGCAGACACGCGATCCCACTGCCTGGCATGTGCGTATCTGATGGAGCTGCATCTGTCTCCTCGGATTTTCTCCAAGCAATTTGCTCAGGGAACAAGCTCCTCCTGGCATAAGATTTCATCTGCTCCGACTGCTGCTCTCCACCTGAAGCAGCAATAAATCCTCGTCGGGTGACATCAGAGCCAGCTGCTGAGCGCCAGAGTCAGCGGCAGGATTACGGGAAGAGGGATGAATGGGAGATATTAATGGAGCGGCTCCTCCCAGGGACAGGCTCTGCAGCCAAGGAGGGGCTCAATCCTGCTGCCTCGCTGACCCTCTCCCACCCCAGGGAACTGCTGCCAAGCCACTTTGTCTCCTGCCTCTGCAAAACCAAATCACTTCACAGCGATTAGGAAGTAGGTGATTTGCAAGGGAGAAATGTCTGGCTAACACAAGCGTATGCCAGACTGAGGGTTTTTGGCCCATCACGGACTGACGTTTGTTGGGGAGGAGGTAGGATATCCCCCAGATCCGTGGCTCCAGAGCTCAAGGAAACTCTCAGTTCATTGGGAACTTGATTGGGGCAGGGAAGAACTGAAATCTTGATGGACCCCAGTGCAGCTCCCTCACCCCTCCCATAAGCAGTCACCTCCCAACGACTTAACAGGGAGAGAAGGCAGCAAGCCGGCCAGGAGAAGTGCATGCAGGCAGCTTATCTTCCACACACCAGGACCTCTGTGTTTTGCAAACAATTGCAAGGGAGAGCAAAACAGCTACATGCATCAGCTGAGATGCAGGGGTAGGCAGAGCCCAGCCAGGCAGGCATGGCCCTGCCTGCGACAGTGGCACAGGGTCCCCACGTGCTCCCCAGCTAAGGTGGGCTCTGGCCTCAGGGCTGTACAGTTCAGTCCAAAAAAATCACTGCTGCCTTCAGGGCAGTAACGTGCAACCAAAAAACTCAGCTGGATTCTCCCTGAGGTTAGGCTGGGTCTAAAGAGGGAAAAAAGACCCACGGCAGGATACCTGCCACCCTGCCAGAGGTGCACTGCAAAAATGGCTCAGCACAGTAGGGAGGGAGAATGGAAGGAGGCAGGAGCATCCGCAGCAGTGCTGTGCTGGGTGAGGTCCACCCCGTCCCTGTTACATGGCATCTGTCCTGTCCCCACCACGCTGGCCCCCCTGTGGCTTGCTGGCAGAGAAAGCTACCCGCAAAAATGCTCTGGGAGCTGGCAGCCCTCTCCCAGCCCAAGAAACAAGTCCAAATCATTTGATATCCCCATGGATCCTCCCTTCCTGTAATGCTCAGAGGGCTTGGACAAAGCTGATAGAAAAGATGGGGGAGCAGAGAAAGCATGGATCATTGCTGCTGTCTAACCACCACCATCCTCTTCCCTGACAAAAGAACGTGCAAAGAGCAGAACTGGCCTATCATGAAGAAAAACAAAGCAACAGGAAAGAAAAAGTGAAAGAGCAAGGAGAGAGGGCTGTGGGGTCCTTCCCCCAGCAGGGCCCAGCCTATGCTGGCGAACTCCCCACTCCAGCTCCTGGAGCAGCTCCCATGGCCGCCCCCATGCTGCCCGCTCCGCTGAGCGCTCACTAACGATGATAACTTTAACACCTAAAATGTGTTGGAGTCTATGGACCGCCCCGGGGAGGACTCAAGCAGGCAGCACTGCAGGATTCATAGAAGAAAATGTGCTTTTGAAAGAAAAAAAAAAAAGAGAAAAGCATCAAGATGGGCGGCAGAAAGCAAATATTTGCATTTGCAGAGAGGCCTTTGCCCTGCTCAGTGCTGGCGGCACCTCTGAATCCAGCTGCCAACACCTGCAAGACTCGGCATGTCTGATCATAGCCAAGAGGAGGTGGCCAGACCTGGGGTCCCTATCGTGTTTAAAAGCCGGACGTGGCTGTGGCTTTCTCTTAACCCTGCGCTAACACCCAAATCATCTCCCTCGCGAAGGCGGATTTGGCAGCAGTGGAGTTCAGCACCTGCTCCTGCACATCACGGTGGCCTGAGGAGGAGCCGGGCTCTGTGCCGGGCTCCCAACCAGATCCCCATCCAAATGGCTTCCCCTGTGCCAGCCCCTCTGCCTGGTGCTGCCCCTTGGTCGTGGCACAGCGTGGGGCACAGCACCACACTGACCATGCCGGGAGCCTCTCCACTACAGCCCTGGTTGCAGCAGGAGCATGGAGTTGTGTCTAGGCACTGGGACCAGCAATTTGGCTTCTCTGGTCCCCAGGCAATGCAGTCGAGGAGTGCAGGAGAAGGCAGCTCTGTGCGAAGGCGGCCGGGCACCAGCCCAGCACTGCAAGCACCGCAGCCCCAGCAACACCAGCTGCATCAGTCCAAGTACTGACAGTTCCTTGGAGCATTGGGTTTTAATACCATTGGAATAAAAAAAAAAAAAAAAAAAAAAAGAAGAAGTTATTTTGGAGTTTGACCTTCCTCTAGAGGAGGCTGTGAAAGACCAAGAGGAAAAACAAGCGTGAGCCATTAGCAAGGGAGGCAAGAGGAACAGTTGGCAGGCAGCGTGTGGGCTCTGCTCTCCCACAGCCTACTCCAAAGACAGCCATGAGCTGCCTCCAGCGTGTGGCGGGTCTGCAGCTCTGACCAGCCAGCCGCCTTTTAGAGGTGGCTGAGCCCTTCACCACACATGCACATGTACGGAGGTCTCTGCCGAGCCAAAGAGAGAAGGGTGTCATGTGCAGCATGCTGACCCCAGCCTGCATTCTCTGAAGATATTTTTTGTGGCCCCCAAGAAGTAACCCATTGCAAGTACACAGGAGGCTTCAGGCCAGGGGTGAGAGCCACAGCTCAAGAGAGCTTGGGAATGTCCCCAGCACTCACAAGTGACCATTCAGCTGGGACATGGCCCCAGCCCAGCTGTAGTAGTGACCTGCTGCTGGCTCATACACTGCACAAGGACCTCCCCCCCACCATTCAATTCCTTCCAAAATGCTGGTTTTACTTTTTTAAAAATAAGTTAATTTCCAGCTTTTAACTTTGAAGGAAAACAGACATTGTGTTTCCAAGCTACCATTAGAAATGAATGCACCAGACTGGGGGAGAGGGGTGAGCACAGGAAAGGGGCAAAAAGCACATTTGCAGAAGTTTACTGCAGGAATAACAGAAGCAGCAGCCTCTGCTGGGTCCCCATCCCTCCCCATACCCCACTCCTGGGCTGAGCATCGGCCTCAGGCCAGGCTCAGGAGGGGGCCATCAGGGAGGCCCCTGCCCAGGCAGCATGGCTGGACAAACAGCAGCTGCTAGCTCCAAAGTGCAGGTCTGAGGCAGCCCAGCACCAGGCAGAGCTCAGGGAAAGGGTCTTGCACACCACCCAGGTGCTTTGGGCTTATTTTTGACCTTTCTGGTCAATGTCTGGATTTTCCTTCTCTCCCCCTATCCCAGCCCACCCCAAAGCACCACTGAGGAGCTGCTAAGAGAGGCCAGCTCCAACAAACCCTCGCTGCAAGCAGTACGTGCTGGCCTCGCTCCCAGGGGTACAGGGAGCTGGCAGAGGCAGGAGGCTGCAGGCTCCCGCCACTCGGCCATAGCCCAGTGCCAGGGCACACGAGCCACCAGCCACGCTCCAGTCACCCCTTGCTGCCACCAGTTTCCTCCTGCCTTGAGTTTCAGAGGGCAGCATTCAGCCCTGGCACGGAGGCGGGCTGGCTGCATGCAGCACATGGGCAGGGGTGCTGCCCAGCCAGGGCAGGGGTGAGCTCGGGGGAGTGCACGCAGCGGGTGCTGCCCAGGGCTGCCTGTGGAAAGCCCCAGGAGGAGCTGGGCTGGCATTCATCCACAGCTGCAGGCTGGCAGGGGGAAGAACAAGCACTTTGGATGTGCTGGCCGGGGCACGGTGCCCTGCCCAGCCCAGGGTGAAGCACCGGGACATGGTAACCAGGAGGTAACAGGACCCACCACCTGGATGATCTAAACACCCACATGGTTCCCCCCCAAACCCCATGCACCAGAGGACTGGGGCAGCCACCCCACTCCAGCTCCCAGCTCAGCTCTCCAGTCACGCTCGTACAGCGAGGAACTGATCAGCAGTGCTGCCTGACTGGGACAGGGACTGGCACTACGTTTGTGTATCACCCAGGACGCCAAGGCCAGCACGAAGCCGGAGTGGCAGGATCCAAGCATGGCTCTGGCAGCCAAGAACTCCTGCCCAAGTCATTCCCCTTCTGGCTTCCCAAAAATGCCTTTCGCCAATTTTTTTTAAATTTTATTTTTAAACAAATCACTTTTGATTTTGGACACCTCCGCACCTCAGAGGACACTTGTCTCGATCTGGGGCAGCTGAGCTGAGGCACCCAGAACGACAGATCAGCACCTGCCTCTCAGCGCAGTGACGAAATTGGGCAAGGTGTTACCTGTTTCAGGAAGACAACTTCATCTTCCTCCATCCCCCACCGCTGGGAGCTGGAGGAGTCGCCTCCTAGCATGTTTTTGCAAGATCTCCTGGGTTTTTTTTATGAAAGAAAAAAGTCCAAAGAAGATTTGGGAGCTTTTAAACACTAAGCTACACTTTTGCCTCTGCATCCAGCCTGCCTTGAGTGCGAATACTCCATTCACAGGGGAAAACTGAGTGGCCAGCAACAGCTGGGGAGCATTCCTGCTCATGCCACCACTTCACAGCAGGATCCCTCTGGTCCCTTGCCATTCATCTGCAGTTGGAGGAATCCCTACTTTCTGTGAAGTCCTGAAAGCATTCCTGAGCCCTGACGCAGCTCAGAGGCACACCTAAGGAACAGAGATGCGATTTTAGGAGAAAAGCCACATAGCTGTGGCTTCCACTGCTGTGATGAGATCTTGTGCTCAGGCCTTTACTATGTTATGGCCAGGCACTATAGGGTGTGACAGGGCAGGGGAAAACCACGTGAAGAGACTAGAAGCTTCTTTTGCTCGTGGCAAGGACAAACTCTCACAGCAATAATTGACCACTGCAGAGCCCCAGAGCAAGCGCTCATTGCTTGTCCCTTCAGCCATGAGCAAACTGAGCCCAACTGCTTCCACGTCCCTGCAGCAGCTCTGCTCTGAGCAACCCAGACTGCCAGTTTCACAGACACTCCTCAGATCCATGCTAGACTTGTGTCCACCTCGGTGCAGTCCTCAAAAAGCGAGGGGGAGGCCAAGGCAGGGGGTCACACCGACCCCCGGCGCTGAGCACGCCAGACAAAGCAACAGCCAGAGCCCCAGTTGTTTCAGACTCCTGCCTAGAGCAGGATCTCGGAAAACAGCTCGCCCAGAAACACGTACCCACTGTGGGACATTCATGGGCAAGCAGGGAAAAGGAGGTGGAAGGACCCAGGTAGACCCTGCACGGCTCAGAGACCTCTGTCCACCCCCTCCCAGCCAGCCCTGCAGGGAGGCCCTGGCAGCAGGAGGTGCAGCATCCCCAGGGGCTGTCCAGATCCACCTGGGTAGTGAAAGGAGCAGCTGGTGTGGCAAAATCCCTAAATACCTCTCCTTCCACAATACCTCAGTCTGGAGGAAGGGTCAGAGCACTTCACGACACCGGGAGAGACAGACCCTCCGTTGCTGAATACGAGAACCACTTGGTTGGATTTTAAAACAGAACATCTTCCCAAGCTCTGCAATTAAGCGGCAATCCCATCGGGGAGTTCAGGAACAGGACAGTTTAGCCTGGCACCAGCCAGTCTGTCGTGCTGGGAAGAGCTAACATTAACTCCCCGCAGACAGAGGCGGCACAGCAAGGTGGGTAAACTCACCCCACCCTCTGCACGGGTGCCTGAGCCAGGGCTGCCGGCCGCGCCTCCCAACAGCCTCCCACCTCCTGCTCCTTTTGCACGCAAACAGCCAGCCAAGACGACCACATTTACTGCAGGTTTAGCTCAGGGCTTGGTTTGAAAAGGCGCTGCTTAAAATATTGTGGAGCAACAAGGCCTACAGCTGTCAAGCTCCCAGCCTGCTCTGGGGACCGGCTCTCTTCCCTCTTCCTAGGGCACAAGCCCGTTCCCATAGCACTCGCAGCCAAGGCCAACGCTCCGCCTGGCAGAGACTCCATCAACATGTCCAATGTGCATTCCTGGAGACATCCAGACTGCACTGCTGGCACAGCAGTGCCTGGCACTGCCAGGCCTCTCCCAGCTGCCTGATGCCAACCAAAGAGTGAACAGCTTGATGAAAGCCTCCTGGGGCATGCCGAGTCCTTGGGAGTGGAGCAACCTACCCACCCTCTACACAAGAGTTTGCTTGAACTGTTTCCTGATAAACTTGGTTCAAAATGGAAAGTGACCATGGAAGGTGCTTGGGTTTTATTCAGCCCTTTCTCTCTCTCCTGCATAAAATTTTAGGAGAGACTCTGAAACAACCAGTTTCAACAACTGGAGAATTTACCCAGGATAAAATACTGACTCTCTTCCCCAGATGTTTGCCCCAGCAAAGCAAACACCCCACAGGCCCCCATCTCCATCTACTCTCCTAAGCACGTGGCACAGTGGGAGGGCAGCACCCTGTGCACAAGTGGGCACGAGATCTGGTGACCACACAGTGGCATCTCGTGAAACATTACTCACCAAGTGTACCTGGACTGGGGGAACACCCAGGCCTGTGTGGGCCACCACCACTTCCAACAGACAGGACTGAACTGTAATGCTTTCCCTGACAAACCTGAAGAGCAACAGGTATGGAGAGGAGATGGGAAACACCTCTGCAATCAGTCCTTCAGGCTGTGATGGGCTTTGAAAGATCAAGCACAGCGTGAAGGGGCTGAGGAAAAGAACACTCTGCAAAGGAAACAAGGGCTACCTACAACCTGCAATGCTTCAGCACTGTATGGCCAGTCAACACCCTTTGTGCTGATGGTCACAGGCATGTGCCAGCTCCTCCTGCTGCAGGAGCTGGATGCCAGGGCAATCCCTGCACAAGTAGTATAGTGAGGACAGAAGAAGAACCTTCTCACCTAGACGGAGCTCCCCAAAATTGCCGCATCCAATCTTCTTGCCGACCCGGAAGTTGGGACCCACCATTAAGACTCCCGAGTTGGTTCCAGTACTCCGGCTTCCATGACTGCTCCTTCCTCCACCTGTCTTGGACATCCTTTTACCTTCCTCCAGCTCCCCTTTCCCTCCTCTCTTATCAAAATCCATAAGTTTGTGATACCCCGGCCTCTCCACGGTTACGCTGCTGCCATACAAATCCCAGAGCTGCCGAAAGTTGAGGGATGAGGAGAAGAAAAGAAGCAGGGCTTTTCTTGGTTAATACACCATCGCGGTGAGTGACGGGAGGACAGGGCGTGGAGAAGGAGGGATAAGCGGCCACCCACGGGTGCTGGGCTACTGAAATCTTAGTGCTTTCCAAGGTCCTGCCGGGATTGTCATCATCGCCTGTTACAGGGAGTTCTTTGGTGGAGAGAACATCCTGCGGAGAGGGTCCTCCCAGCGTGGCTCCTCAGTCTCCCAGCTGCAGAAAGGAAAGGGAGAAAATTAGCACAAGGAAAATAGGAGGCAGAGGACAACAGGGGGTTGTGGGCTCCAGGCTCCCGCCCCCAGCTCCACAGAGGCCCTCCAACACCTTCCCTGCGTTACAAGTAACTCCCACAAGGATGAACAATGCTGCAACTGAGAGGTGGGAGAAGCTGGGGTATCAGGACCATTGCAGGGTGCCCCACGTCTAAGATGCTAGCATAAATAAATAAATAAAAGTCTGGCCAGGGCAGGAGGTGAAACGCTTGATGAGCATCTCCAGGTCGGAGCCAGCAGAGTCACGTGGGGAGAACAATGTCCCCACAGGCAAGGGCTGCTGGCAGCAGGGAGACCTTTGGAGGCACCAGCCGAGGCACTTGGGACCAGGCTGCCACTGGTCAGACCTGAGAGTCCCCAAGAGCAGAGGACACACATAAACCACTGCGTTAGGGGGCAAACTACGCCAGGCGTGCAATTTCCTATGAACTGAAAAGAGGATGTTCATCCCCGATGGCTGCTTGCTGGGAGGGTCCCTGTGGGTCCAGAGGTCGTGGCCAGCTGAGTCAGAGCTCTTCCCCCCAGCGCCAGCCTCCGTTGCGGCTGGGCCTGGACCTTTGTGCCAGCGATTCTGCGCCAGGACACGTGGGAGAGGAGACGGTTTCTAAGCAGCTGTGCATGTGTGGGGAATGACCATGCTCAGAGCTCCCATGACAGCTTGCCCAGGCCTGCCAGGCTGGGGTAAAACAGACACTGGCAAACAGAAACCCAGGACTTACTAACACCCCTGCTCGCCTCCATGGCGAGCGCCCGATTGCTGCCTCTTCCTCCGCTCTCACAAACCTACCTTGATTTTACGTGCAAAGCTTGGAGCAAGGCACAGTGGCCAACAGGGCTGCTGGCTGCAGGCTGGGCAAAAGCCACTGTGACACTCGCTGAAAGTAACCGATGGCTGTGCAGCACCTTGCCTACCTCATGTGTGCAGCTCCCAGCACTTCCCAGTGAGGCTAGCGGGAAGCCCTGCGCTGGTGGTGGAGTAACTCGGGGTGGAGTAACTCGGGGTTCCCCTCAGCCCCTGCAAACAGGCAGGACTCAGCTCAGACCCTTGAACCAGGGAGCTCCTTCCAATGTGCGCACCCCTGCTCATTGCAAGGCGGTTGGACTAGATGACCTTTAAAGGTCCCTTCTAATCCAAACTATTCTGTGACATTGGCTCTGCACAAGCACCCCCATGCAGCTGAGTGTGTTCACACAACTACAGCCCAACACTGAGGCCAAATCAGACCCCTGCTCCCTTCCAGAGGGGTGGGATAACAAGTACCATCGACCAGCTCCGTGCTCAGAGCCATGCTCTCCCTCCATCCAGGACTCCCAGCGGAGCTGCCTGGGGGGAGGTCAGGCTCAGTCCCTCCTTGCAGGGACGCCTGTGCGGGAGGCAGCCAGAGTGTGCCAGGAGCAGGACAGCCAGGAAGCTAAACACGGGCTGGAAAGCGCAGAGCCGGGTGCACGCTGGGAGGCCATGTGAGAGACAGACAGACCAACACATGCAAGCCCCACTTTACCCCCAGCATTCATCATCTCTGGTTTTGCTCCCAGCTCAGCCCGTGCTGCATTTTGAGTGAGCCGAGGTGGGAGGCAGCCCCCACCCCTCCCTGCCCACCTCCCCCTCTCACCACCTTCCTCTGCTCCCCTCTGGGGTCCCATGATGCCCACCAAGAGCCCTTGCTGCCATGGCCTCATTACCTGTGGGTTAAACAAGCAAACCCACACCCCTCCAGCGCTCAGACTCCAGGAAATGAGCACACTGCAAGTCCTGACGCCTGGCCAAACCCGTAAAACTTTTATTGGCTCTCAATAGCTATTAATAACAAAAAAAAAGCCTTCTTGTGCTGAAGGGTGCATGGGGGGAAGTGGGGGAGGGTCTAAGAGCAACCGAGGGAGAAAAGACACCCAAGCCAGAGCTCAGCATGGGGGAAGGACTGGCTCTGTAACAGTCTGTGGGCAGGGGAGCTGCTCCCTGGGGCTGCCCCACTCCCAGTCCTCTCCTGACACCAAATCCTCACCAGGGACCACCACACTCTGTCCACAGCATGCTGGCAAAACGCCGCTGCTCTCCAAGAGGGACTGGAACTGCAGGCACCGAAGGTGCAGCATGCTGGCCCAGCTCCTCAGGGCTGTTGTGGGTGCATGACACCCATCTGCATGTGGGACACCTGCCTGTTCAGGTACTGGGGGAACGAGGCTTTCACATGGGATGGGAGCCCCCTCCTTCCCCCACAGGCACCATCCTCCAGGCCAACACCTCCAGAGCATCCCTAGAGCACAGCAGCCCCAGCACAGAGCAGCCTAGCCCTCCAAGGCCACCACTGGCAGGCCAACACCTGGGGACCATCCTGCTGCACACAGCACATCTCAGCCGAGGGAAACTGAGGCACGCAGAGCCTTCCAACTTCTCTGAAGGCCACGCGGGCAGCTGCGGGCCAGCTCCTGCCCTGACGCTCCCTTCCCCCGGCAGCCAGCGGTCTCCATCCCGTGCCAGCAGGAAGCCGGGTGGGAGCGGCAGCAGAGCAGGGCTTCCCTGAGCTTTGTTCTCCCCCAGCCCAGAGCGCACACAGCCAACACGTGATATCCTGCTCATTCTTTGCTCCCCCAATAATTTCCGTTCCGGGTTCGGCGCATGGCGGTGCCCTCCCGTGCGTCTCACGCTTCTCCCACCTCTGCCAGCCTCTGGCAAGGACACCAGGGAGCCATTTGCCCCGTGACCTCCCAGAGCAGGCAGCAGGGCGTGGCTCTCCCCGGGCATTTCGGGAGTCACCTTGCCCAGACGTGGCTCCAGCCACACACCAGGGAAGGGGAGGCAGCCGGCAATGCGCAGGCCACACTGCTTCATACCCCGTTTTCGTTTTGAATCAGACCTTTATGTTCAGTCCCAGGGGATTTCAGGTCCAGACTGTTTGCAGAGTCAGGCGGCCGACAGCCAGAGCTGAGGGAGCTCCAGCCCCCACACTTGGGATTTTTTTTTTTTTTTTTTTTTAAAGAGTTATGGGCCAGTCTCTGCAAGGCAATTTCAGACAATGGAGTGAGACAGAGCCCTAACAGAAGGGAAAAAAATAAATACTGTTTCCTGCGAGCACCAGGAGACTGTGCTGTCTTCCCCCAGCCCAGACAAACGCAGGCAGCAGCGTAGCATGACTCTCCAGCCCTGCCTGCACAGCAAGCCCCAGCCTCAGGAGCAGCCCTCCCAAAAGAGCCTGGCTCCAAACCTCGATTTCAGGCAGCTGGGCCAGGGCAACGACTGGCAAGGCCATGGCACCGACCACTGCGCCAGGGCTGCGTGCCAGCCGGCTGCAGCACTGAAATTCCCCCTTTTCCAAAGCTGGGCAGTCAGAGCAGCAGGAAGTCACTGAACCGCGTCCGTGTGAGTCAGGCCAGGGCAAGTGACGCTCCTCCAAACTCTGCCCACCAGCCTCCCCTGTGAATGAGCCACCACGAGCTGAGGGCTGGGAGGAATCTATTTTCGCATCCGTAGAGCGTCAAGGAGAGGCAACAGCTCTCTGTACCTCGGTACAAAAGCAGGACCCACCTCTCTGTGTGGTGTCAGTGACTGGTCAGGTTTTCCACTCTGTGCCATAAAGAGATCTCTGGCCTTTAAAATTGAGAACAACCTAATTAGAAACAGAAACCTTTGGTAAAATCCCAGGACTCTCAGTGCTCTGGAGCAAACAGCCCTGCAAAACCTGTGTTTGTTAAAACACAGCAGCCTCTGGATGGGCAACGGGGACCCAGACCTGCCCCATCCTGCCACCCCAGGGTCACAGCATCATGAGGAAGATGCCCCTGATGAAAACCGATGGCACACTGTTGCATTTTGAACAGGAATCCTCACCCAGAAGGTCACATTGAGGCAAGCAGCCTCAGAAAAGCACCTTCTAGGCTGGAGTAGTTGGCCTGGTATCAAATCTGATGCAAGATGAGACTAAGAAAACTTCTTTCTCTCTTTGGGGGGAAGGGGAGGTAGGGGGATGAATAAGAAAAAAAATAAATTGGCCGGAAGTGTGGTAGAAGAAATTCCAAAGCAAGCTGTGGTCTTAAAACAAATAAGCACTGCCCTGCAGTGTTTGCAGTGCAAGTGCTCCAAGCCAGGGAACCTGAAAGTGAAATGAACTGCAGACAAGTGTAAGCGACTTCAGCTCCTCCCCAAAACAGAACAACAAAAACACTGAAAGTACCATAAAGGGGGCAAAAACACACTCAAGCAATCATTTTAAAGCCAAAGAAGGGGTTCATGTTGTTTTTGTTGAAATACTGGGTTCTTTTTATTTGCCATCTAGTTTTGGGCATGCCAGGTCTACTCCAGTCACATTTACAAGCTTTTCCCTGCAGTCATAAGGGTGAGAAAAAGGGATTGGGGTGGGGGTGGTTGGGTTTTTGGTTTTTTTGTTTTTGTTTTTTAAAAAAAAAGAAGAAAAAAGCTGCGATTCTAGTCCTAGCCCTTGTCTCTGAGACCTGTGACTTGGACTGAAATACCAAGGCTTGGGAAGTTCCCGGCCACATTTGCAAGTATCAAATGCTGAAAAGTTGTGTTTTTAAAAATTTCTTTCCTGTATAGTGAAACCTTGTGGCTGCCGAGAAAGGACTTGAACAATGTGCCCCAGATGGTATTGTACTAGTCCCTTTATACACACAGTGTTCCTGCCCAAAAGAGGTTACAATTAAATGGGGCAAGACAAATAGGGGAAGAGGAGGAAAAAATAGCGGCCCAGAGCAGGGAAGTGATTGGTGAAGGTCAGGGGGCAGGACCATGGCACTTCTTGGAACAGAGTCCAGGTGTCCTGGACCAGCCGGCTCCCCCAGGCAGGTGTGATGCTACCCCCAGCCACGGAGGCTTGACTGTACTGAGCCCTGATCTCCGCAAGCCTTTGGGATGAGTACTTGAAGCCGGTTTCCTCATGTACTCTGTGCTTTGCGAACGAAAGAGAAACACAGCTGCATCCAGATGAA